CACACAGATGATTCAAAACAAAGATAATGCCAACTCCGATAAATTGTCTGGTAAGGCACAGTTTGGCGATGTTATTCTCGATACCGGAGCTTCCCATCATATGACTGGGCAGCTTTCTTTCTTGACTAACATTGTCTCTATACCACCGTGTTCGGTGGGATTTGCGGATGGACGTAAAACGTTCGTTGTGAGCATGGGAGCGTTCCCGCTTTCGGATAAAGTCAAGTTGACTAATGTTCTTTATGTGCCTGCGTTGAATTGCACATTAATATCTGTTTTAAAGATAGTAAAACAGACTAAGTGTTTGGCATTGTTCACTGATACAATTTGTGTTTTACAGGACCGGTTTTCGAAGACTTTGATTGGAACCGGGGAAGAACGTGATGGGGTGTATTATCTAACGGATGTGGCTACGACAAAGATTCATACAGTGGCAGTCACCTCCGATCAAGCTTTGTGGCATCAACGTTTAGGACATCCAAGTTTTTCAGTGCTTTCCAATTTACCTTTGTTTACGGGTTCCTCTACCGCTGTTAGCTCTCGTTCGTGTGACGTATGTTTTAGAGCAAAACAGACAAGAGAAGTTTTTCCCGATAGTATTAATAAAACATTATAGTGTTTTTCTTTAATACATTGTGACGTTTGGGGACCGTATCGCGTGCCCTCATCTTGTGGAGCAGTTTATTTTTTAACAATCGTCGATGATTTTTCAAGAACCGTTTGGACGTATCTCTTACTTGCAAAATCAGAAGTGCGTGGCGTGCTCACTAACTTCTTGGCTTACACGGAAAAACAGTTTGGCAAATCCGTGAAAACAATTCGCAGCGACAATGGGACGGAATTTATGTGTCTCTCGTCTTATTTCAGAGAACATGGTATAACTCATCAGACTTCTTGCGTAGGGACTCCACAACAAAATGGTAGAGTAGAACGAAAGCATCGACATATTCTCAACGTCTCTAGAGCATTGTTGTTTCAAGCGAATCTACCTATTAAATTTTGGGGTGAAGCAGTTTTGACGGCTGCTTATTTAATCAATCGTACACCATCTTCTATTCATAACGGCCTCTCTCCTTACGAGATACTTCATGGCAGCAAGCCGAGTTATGATCAGCTCCGCGTCTTTGGGTGTGCTTGTTATACTCACCGCGTTACACGGGATAAAGACAAGTTTGGCGAAAGAAGTCGCTTATGCATGTTTGTTGGTTATCCTTTTGGACAAAAGGGGTGGAAAGTGTATGACATGAAGACTAATGAATTCTTAATCTCACGTGATGTTGTCTTTAGAGAGGATGTGTTTCCTTTTATGTCAAGTGTTGCTGATTCAGTCTCGAGGCCGTTAGCCTCAGTTCCAGTTATATGTGATGAAGATTGGCTGCCTTCTCCGCCGTTGGTCGACAGGGGGAGCATTGAAAATGTGGTTCCAACCACTGCAGCTACACCCGGAGCTTTGCCAGGTGCTTCCTCTGAATCTCTCATAGCACCAGTCGTCGATTATGATGTAGCAACAAGTGTTGCCCCGACTGTTACCTCCGGCGATGACTCTGTTTTGGACTCTGTTCCGAATCCGAGTACAGAGCCTGCTTCTCCGCCACAAGAAACCATCTCATCTCCAAGTGATACGGCTGAGTCTCCGAATGAAACTCTGTCAGTTTCTCCGACTTCTAAGCCCTCCCCGTTATCGGCGGCTTCTTCTCCTTTTGTTGAGAAAACTCCTCCGCGTCAAGGAAAACGTCAAGTCATACAACCTGTACGATTGAAAGACTATGTCTTGTACAATGCTACTGCCACTCCGGATACCCATCACGCTCTCCTCACTTCCACTTCTCAGTCCTCGACACCGCTCCCAGGTAATTCACACTACCCTTTGACAGACTGTATCTCCGATGAATATTTTTCCACAGGTCATAAAGCTTATCTCGCTGCAATCACTACAAATGTTGAGCCCAAGCATTTTAAAGAGGCTGTTCAAATAAAGGTGTGGAATGATGCAATGTTTAAAGAAGTTGATGCATTGGAAATTAATAAGACATGGGATATAGTGGATTTGCCAACAGGAAAAGTAGCTATTGGGAGTCAATGGGTCCACAAGACCAAGTACAATGCTGATGGTTCCATCGAGAGATACAAAGCTCGTTTAGTTGTTCAAGGAAATAAACAAGTTGAAGGAGAGGATTACAATGAAACATTTGCGCCAGTGGTAAAAATGACAACGGTTCGTACTCTTCTTCGTCTCGTTGCTGCAAATCAATGGGAGGTATATCAAATGGATGTAAATAATGCCTTCCTTCATGGTGATCTAGAAGAGGAGGTTTACATGAAACTGCCTCCTGGGTTTCGTCATTCTTTTCCCGACAAAGTTTGTCGTCTTCGCAAGTCATTGTATGGCTTGAAACAAGCTCCTCGGTGTTGGTTTAAAAAGTTATCTGACGCTCTCTTACGTTTTGGTTTTGTTCAAGCTTACGAGGATCACTCTCTCTTCTCATATACACGCAACGGAATTGAACTTCGCGTGTTGATTTATGTTGACGATCTCGTGATTTGTGGTAACAACGGGTACATGATTTAAAAGTTCAAGGAGTATTTGGGTCGTTCTTTCTCCATGAAAGATTTGGGAAAGCTTAAATATTTTTTGGGAATTGAAGTAAGTCGTGGCCCTGATGGCATTTTCTTATCTCAGCGCAAGTATGCTCTTGACATTATATCAGATAGTGGTAATCTTGGTTCTCGTCCTGCTCATACACCTTTGGAACAAAATCATAACCTTGCCTCCGATGATGGTCCGTTCCTTCTGGATCCCAAGCCATACCGGCGCCTAGTTGGTCGCCTTCTCTATCTTCTTCATACTCGGCCTGAGTTGAGTTATTCAGTCCATGTCCTGTCACAATTTATGCAAGCACCTCGGGAGTCTCATTTGCAAGCTGCGATACGCATTGTTCGTTTTTTAAAAGGCTCTCCAGGTCAAGGCATTATGCTTAAAGCAGATTCAGATTTAACTCTTGAAGTTTATTGCGATTCTGATTTTCAAACATGTCCTTTGACTAGACGTTCTCTTAGTGCTTATATTGTGTTTCTTGGTGGTTCGCCTATTTCATGGAAGACAAAGAAGCAAGACACTGTTTCTCATTCTTCAGCAGAAGCCGAATATCGAGCTATGTCAGTTGCTCTTCGAGAAATAAAGTGGTTACGGAAGTTGTTAAGAGAATTAGGCATCGACCAATCCGCTCCTGCGCGCTTGTTTTGTGATAGTAAAGCTGCTATTTACATTGCTGCTAATCCGGTTTTTCACGAGCGTACCAAGCACATTGAATCCGATTGTCATTCGGTTAGAGATGCGGTTCGCGACGGCATTATCACGACGCATCATGTTAGGACTGAGGAGCAGCTCGCCGACATCTTTACCAAAGCTCTTGGTCGCTCACAGTTTCTTTATTTAATGTCCAAGTTGGGCGTTCAGAATCTTCACACTCCAACGTGAGGGGGAGTATTGGGGATATATGTGTATAATCCGGTTAGGATTAGATCATATCTTTTTTGATAGAGTTTATGTCCTACATTTTAGGATCTTAAGCTTATCTTGTTATCAAAGCTCTCGTGAGCTCTCATGTATAAATACCATTGTTTGGTGAATGAATAAAGCAAGTTGGTTTGTTACCTAATTCTACATTTTATTTTCTATATTACGTGCAGTGACAGTGATTTAGTGTTTAACAATCAAAAACATCAAAAGAAAATCTATAGATAATCATGATTATCGAACTAACATGTTTGCCAAAACAAATTAACTCAATAGTGGTTAACTTGCATTGCTAGAGGATCTTAAAGAACCACCCTGAATTCTATGTAGTACCATCGAAACATATTTCAGCATCTAGCTGTAGTTCTATAAATACCAATTTAAAGTCTCTAAATATAAACAATTACGGCAAGAATATTTTAAGGGTTCCTACTTGGTTTAATAAATTTTCTTACAACGACCCACTATAATGTAATTACAGTGTATATGAAAGGTTCTCATGTTCTGTCTTTGTTTAGGTGACATATGAAAGATACGTCTGACAATATTTAAGTACAATATGCACAAAAAGATGATGTGTAAGGTAAAAGCTAATGGAATCACATCGTAAGTTTATGATTCTACAGGTCTCTAAACTGTATATAAATAAGGAATAATTGATTAGTATATGTTTTTAATTTTTGGTTTAGGAGAATTTGAAATAAATAAATAAATGCTATTAAAATATTAGGTGCTAAAATTAATCCACCACAAAATATGGGTCATACTCCTTTGTTTAAAGTTAAACGAGGACGCAAGAATTTGATTTATATTGTAATTTTTAGTCTCTGTAACGATTAATAGCAACAATTGTTAGGCTAATAAAAGTCCGTTAGGCTTAGTTCTAAACAAGTGACCACTTACTTCAATGTAATGACATGTCAGATTTCTTCTATTATTTATCAAGCTATATACAGTACCTTGGTTGGTAAAAGCTAAAATCTACGTGTACCTAAACGTGGCTAGTTAACTAATTGGAAAAAATCGTTCAAGTTACATATTGGATCCCACTTGGACTCATTTTATATGGTCGAAAACAAAATTTTATGTTTGAGAGACTTTTCTTTATCAAAACATTAATGTTGCATTTAAGTTAAACTAGAGGCTTATTAAGAGAGCGGAGTGTACATACCGGAATCCTAGTGACTATATCTTACAAACAAAACAACCAAATTTAGAAAAGTTACATATTGGATCAACCAAATTTAGAAAAGTTACATATCTTACAAACAAAACAACCAAACATAAGATGAATAAACAAGATTTCTAGAAAAAAAAAAAAAAAATTTAGAAAAGTTTTATTTTTGCTCAAATAAAGAAAAAGTTTCATTGATTTATAAGAAATCTCATTAGAATAATCCAAATTGGAATAATCTACTTAACCTACACCATCCATATACTTTCAATTCCACATCACTCTTTTAACTAGCTAGGCACTAAGGCACATCTCAAATGAGCTTCTTATATATCACCACACACATTTCGTACCAAAGCTACTTACAAATATCTGGAAAAGAAGAAACCATCCAAACTCAAACTCGACAAAAAAAAAACCTAAAACACGCATCAACGATAAAGGTCACATAAAACAAACCAAAATATCCAAGATTTGTAGTTCTACAAAAGCATTACTCCAACAATAAACGGTAATAAATTACAAAAGCGTGAAAATTAAACACGAGGAGGAGTAACCGACCGAGGGAAAGGAGATCCAGGACCCACTCTATTAGAATCGTCATCATTATTATCATGGTAGATATAAGCAAAGCCACCGTGACGTGTCATATCCATTCCTTGCATTTCATCCTTCTCCGAGATCCTAAGCAGATTGAGTTTTTTGAGGATGAAGAAGAGTGTTCCCATTGTGGCACTAACCCATCCCGCAATCACAAGTATTTGTACCAATTGTGCTCCCAACAGCTTCCCTCCTCCGCCCATAAATAGTCCATAGGGCCTTCCCGGGGTGGCGCCATAAACCTCGTTTAGATACTTCTCTTTGGCAAACAATCCTACAAATACCAACCCCCACGCGCCACACCCTCCGTGTAGTTGGGCCGCCTCGAGTGGATCATCATATTGTACGAGCTCCGCGAGCTTGTTGCATCCGATAAGAACGAGGGAAGCCATGAAGCCGCAGACGATAGCTGCCCATGGCTCTACCACGGAGCAACCTGCGGTTATGGCCGCAAATCCACCGAGTAACCCGTTGCAAACGTCCGTTACGTTCCAGTGGCCTGATAGAAGACGTTTACCAAAGAGTGTGGTTAGAGCTGCGGTGCATCCTGAGAGTGTGGTGTTAACCGCTGTGCGGCCAATTCCGCTCCATTGGCCGTAGTTGGAACCAGAATTATACGGAACGAGTATCTTAGTGAAGGAACCCGGGTTGAAACCATACCAGCCGAACCATAGGAGGAAGGTTCCTAACACTACAAGCGAGGCAGAGTGGCCGCGCAGAGCAATAGCGCGACCACCTTTCTCGAACCTACCACGACGAGGACCTTCGATAAGAGCACCCCACAAACCTGCTATGCCACCAACCATGTGAACAACTCCGGAGCCAGCAAAGTCGATGGCTCCGGTGCTAAACAAACGATCTTCCGCTGAACGGAAGGGACTGGCCCATCCATCCGGGGACCAAAACCAGTGAGAGACAATAGGGTAAACAAATCCGGTTAAGAAAGAAGAGTATATCAAGTAAGCCACGAACTGAGTCCTCTCCGCTATGGAACCACTTGTGATTCCAGCGGCCGCGATTGCGAACGCCCATTGATAGAGGAAGAAAGAGTAATCAGCTGTGGGAGTCGGGAAGTCTCTAAGAGCAAAGTTGTGTCTTCCAATGAATCCTTCGGAAGATCCGCCGAAGGCAAAGGCGTAACCAAAGAGATAGTAAAAGAGTCCTCCGGCTGCAGCATCAAGAACATTGGTAAGCATGATGTTCATTGTATTCTTGGCTCTAACGGAGCCAGCGCAAAGCATAGCGAAGCCGAGCTGCATGGCGAAGACAAGGTAGGCAGAGAAGAGGAGGTAGGTGTTGTCTATGGCAAAGGCTGCATCGGTGAACTTGTTGTTAACGGTACCTAACTGGCTGCAAATGTAGTCGGCCGCCGCGGTGGCGTTGGGACCAAGTAGGGTGGCGAGATCGGCCGCAGAGCATGTTATAGCTCCTGACATGTTTGAGAGAGCTGAGAGAGAGAAAGAGAGACACGGAGAAGAATGGTTGCCTCTTGTGTGTCTCTTAAAAGGAAGGAGGAGGAGTTTAGGGTTGACTTTAGACTCCGGCTGGACCAATTAAATTTGTATTTAAGAGGAGAGATTTTAAATTATTAATTATTAAAAAAGTTATGTGACGTAACAACATTATTGAATTAATTAGAGATGTAATCTGCCAAATCTTCTTAACGACTTGCAAATTGCGATGCTAATCCTATACGGTTTTTGGTGATTAAGTGATTGGCATGTAGTAATCTATGAATATAAAAAGGCAAATTAAAGGAATATATAGAAATTTAAAAACTACTGTATGTGATGAATATATGAAAATAAACTGATAGTATTGAAAATCACAAACCAGCTGATTTTCTAGTTGTATTCAAAGTTCTTCTTTATACTATCAGTTTTGTAAATTAAGTCAAGATCAGCACTCTTTATACAACAATCTTATGATAATCTTGCAAAACTTTTGAGAAATTAATTAAGTTTGCTGAAGGTTGAAACCGCAAATGATAACATGGGTTAGCGGGAACCACGTTTTATTTGCTGAAAATTGCACTTAAGCCCTTAACTTCTAGATATGTCCAAAATTACTCAGCGGCATTAGAAATTTTAATCTTGCATCTATACTATTCCTCATGGAGTCATATGGTTGTGTATAATAATACTACATGTATAATGAATGTATTCAAGCAAAAGACAGTTCTATACTTCTATACAACTGACATTAGAGTAAGAGCCCTATCAACTATAACTATTCATGAATGAGTCTTGTTTAAACCAAAAACAAAAACCATTCGTGAATGATTGAAAAAACATTTATCTCAGTTTGTGCCAAGCCATGAAAATTCAAGTCAAGTATTACTTTTAGGAACATGATGCTGCTCTCTTTTGATCAAGAATCTTTTATATATGATGTATGAATCGAATAAATATACTTAAAAATAGTTGTTCCAAACCAGGGTCGTCTCTCACCCATGGCAACATAGGCATTTGCCATGAGTCCAAAACTATTTTTTTTAAAAAAAATATTGAAGAAAAAAGGCTGAATTTTTAAAAAATTTTTTAGTAAGAGATTTTTTTTTTTTTTTTTTTTACTTTTGCCAAAAGTCCTCCCATAGGTTGAGACGGCACTGCAAACGCTGATGTTTCACCAACATGATTTAGGCTTTTTATTGCCACTAACTAGTTTTTAAAAATGAAAGCTTTCTATATATGTATGTGTGTGTCTAAACTTAATCATTTTTAAGTCAACTATAGGAGAAACTTGTGACTTGTAATCTATATTTACTGATGACTTGTAAATGAGAGTTGACCCTCAGCAAAATAGACAAAAGCAAACTTTTTTTAATAACGGACGTTAAATTATTCACATATTTTAGTAGACGGTAGCTTTTAAAATCTTACAAAATAATGTCAAGAATTGACGTGACATCATGGATTACCACAACAAATTTTGATTATAGTAATACACTAATACGTAGTAACTATTAATTAAGTGTAGTACATAAGTGTAAAATTGTTTAATAAATACGAAAAGCCATAGTAAGTGATGTACATTAGTGATTTATGAAATAAGACTAAAAGCAGGCTTGTGTATTGGGTAAGTAGGGAAGTACCCATGGCTCGACCCAATGGCACGTCTAAAGCTCTCCTCTATACATATTACATATATATCAAAATTCACAATTCTTGTTCATGAAATTATTTTTTATCCTTTGATGTTAGAAACCAAAAGAATCATCATAAGAAAAAAATTCGATAATCAAGATTTTCGCATTAACTTTTTTGCCAAACAAAATTAAGCCAAGAGTGGTGGACTTTGCTTTGCTTCATGAGGACCTTAAAGAACCCTGCTGGATTCTAAGTAGTACCATTCAAATCTATTAATGTTTCCAGCTAGTTCTAATAATTTTAATGAATGAGTTATTGACTCTTTTTTTTTTTTTTTTTTTTTTTTGGACAAAGAATGAGTTATTGACTCTAAGTCTCTAAATTAAATACATTATTTTGTTGTTTCAAAATTCACGGCAAGATTATTTGAAGTGCCGTACGTATTTCTGCAACCATGTAATTCAAATTATTGTACAGTATAATTGAAAGTTTCGCATTTGTTGTCTTTGTTTGGCTGACATATGAAAGATACGTTGTTTAACAAGAAAAGAAAAAAGATACAAATACAGTTTGACTAATATGCAGATAACATGATGTGTAAGGAAACACTAATGAACTCGCAAAAGACCCTTAGATTTAATGACATTTCCTTATCTATTTTTATTATTTATCAGCCTACTTTGGTTGGTAAAAGTCTAAAAGATAACATCCACGTATACCTAAACGCGGCAAGTTAACTAGTTGAGAAACAATCGTTCAAGTTACATATTAGATGTTTGACAAAAAAAAAAAGTTACATATTAGATCATACTTTGAATAACTTTTCTTTGAGAGATAATTTGTTTGTCAAAATTTTGCATCAATTCTTGATTCGAAACGATATACCATCAGAGGTCCGGGCAGAGGCGACCCATAAATTATAAGAGCCACAACCTCAAAAAAGTTTTAGGGTCAAGTTTCTTTACTGAGTCAAACAAAACAAAAAATTGATATTAAATGATGTGGTTTTGGATCTGGGGAGATAACAACATGCTTTGACCCAAAACCTTCTGGTATTCAAAAAAAAAAAAAAAAAAACTAATGGTGAAAATGGTCTAACACTAAACTTCAAGAACATTTTTGCAGTCCTTTACCAATAGATTAATGGAACTTTCGTTCGATTTAAGGACCCGATAACATATGCTTCACCAGCTAATTGTGCTTAGTGCCAGCTCTGGGTCCATGATTCTAGACAGCGTATATATTTTTAAGCCTCTATAAAAAAGAGGAATTATCAAGAGGTAATGTTGAATCCAAGCCTAAATTAAAAGTAAGACATTCATTTGCTCTAATGAGTTCAAAGGGAATTTCAAACATTCGTTTTTACTTAGTGGAAGTAGGATTCATAACTTTTTGTTCCTACAAATCGGATTCATGTTTACCATATTTATTTGCTAAAGTAGTAATAATAAATATGGCTCAAACCGTGTTCTTGTTTTACTTTTCAGTTGCACTATCACTATGCCACTATCTTTATACAAAGGCTTCGGAAATTGGATGGGAAACGTTTAGCCAGATCCAAATGAGAGATATAGACTCCTTTTTTCTTTTCTTTTTTAAAAAAAAATATTTTTTGTCGTCTACTTTATCATAATCACAAGATATTAATATTTTGCTATCTGGTAAAACTTACTTCCATTAACATACAAAATTCGCATTTTCAATTGAACAAACATATCAAGTAAACTTTTTGGCCAGACACTTAGTGACATCAGCTTCCAAAAAATATTAATACACATTTAAGATCTAAATAATTTTTGGAAAGAAAGCTAAATAAATATAAACAAACAAGGGAAATTAACTAGAAATTTTCTGTAAAGGTGTATCACTGGTCTTAAAAATTACAAAATAATTTTTATGTTTAACTAGATTCTAAACCCACACTACAAGTGGGTCTATATTTAATATTTATAGTAAATTTTTGTGTAGCTAATAATATTTAATAAAAATTTGAAATATATTTTTATATGGCTAATAATTGTTAATAGTTTAAATTCTTTGAATTTTAAAATTACCATGGCAAATAGGTTAATTTAAATACACAATTAAAAAAAAAACTCTAATACAATTTTTAGGTTTGTACAACATTTATTAAAAATATACTTTTGTTTAATAGCTACCTCTTTAGCTTTAAATATTTTGGATGACTGAGTCTTTTCACGTTTTGACTGAATCTCATGAAATAAATTGTTATAAGAGGATATAGTTCGACGATTTTCTCATTTTGGTATGCGCAAATTCAATATTATCTTCACTGCATTCTTCACTGCATTAGTTGGTATAGCTCTTCTAAAATTAAGATTCTATAAAAAAAATTATTCTCAAAAGCTTCTATTAAGAAAATTTTCCATATTTCATTATCATTTATGTTATTTAAAATTTAAATAAGAAAGAAAAGATTTTATAGGATAAGATTACAAATATGATGTGTGATTTTTTTCTTATTTGTTTTATATTATTAAAAAAAATTCTATTAGTAAAACAATTATATAAATATTAAATCTCCTACGAAAAATACATTTCGTAACACATGCGTAGGATTTTGGTAGGAATTTTTTCCTACCAAATATTTGGTAGGAAATTTGGTAAGAAAAACCTATGTTTTCTTGTAGTGATAATTTGGGAAAATAGCAACGTCCCAAAAAAACTCATGTGCCAGCCGCTGCAAAAAAAAAAAAGCAAAAAAGCAAATCGTGACAGGTGAAAATCTAATCAAAGCCATAAAATTTCGAAAAAGACATCTATCTTATCGAAGAATTTTGAGTTGGCCAAAAACATGGTGGCCATGTAAAACTAAAAAAAAATTAGAGATACAATTATGTATAGTTGGGAATGAAATCACTACCTTATAAGTTACAATTAACAATTTTTAATATAATATTGTTAATATTTGTTTCTTATATAAATTATGCCATAATTTTCTTATTTTCTAAGCTTTCTCACGTTAATTAACTATATTATTTTTGAATTAGAAAAGTTTCTTAATATATTTGGAAGCTAACGTTATGAGACTAATAATTATATTTTCTTTTTATATTTGATTCACTACAAGAAATTTGTTCATTGTTAACGCTAAAAATATGCTATCTTACGTTATATATAGCGAATTCACAAACGCTATGTTCTCGGCAGCTATGGTAGGTGTCACTCATAAGATAGCATTGTTTGAAACGCTATTATAGTTAATGATATAATAGCAAAATTTAAACGCTGTGTTAAAGTTTAATATAGCACTTTAATTTTTTGTTAAAAAGTAACGATGATTGTAATTTCGTGTCATAATAGGTGATTCAATGTTAGCAATTAGTTCATGCTGCAAAATATATTTTAGTAGCTTTACGTTTTACGCTATGATATATGATTCTTCTACAATGACAGTGAATAATTGCTAAGTTTTGTTTAATTACGCTGTTTAATTATGCTGTAATACAATCTATCACAACTTGTTTTTTTTGCTATTATATGCATTCCCAGAACCCAACATAGACAAAAAAAAGTCTGAATAGAAATTTCATCTTAAGTCTGAATCCAATCCAACATAGAGAAAAAATCCATACAAATCATTCAACATAACATAAGTCTAAATCCAAAGTAGACAACAAGTCTGATTCCGAATTTCATAACACAAGTTGATTAGTCTAGTCTTAAACTAATTTAAACTAGCTAACCTGGACCAAAGTGTCTTCATTCCCTGCAATAATCAACAATGTCTCCTTTCAGTTTCAGATATAATACGAAAGTACAAGGATCACAGTAATCACAAAACTTACCCCAGTTTATTCTTAAACTCAATAGATGACCAACTTATCCATTGGCCATGCAATAGCTGAACCAAGTGAATCTCTCATATACTCGATTTCATCTGATGGCCTCCAAACTGCTGCATCATCTATTTTCACTATATCCACCCAAACTCTAGCTGCATTAGCCCCCAAGCGAACATGGTGTACCTTTAGGTCTGGGTCGATTGAATGCACACGTCCTTCAGCAACCACCTGCTTCTTTCCACTAATATCCATTAACTTACACTTCTGATTGGCCTTGATAACTTCAGCTACACTTTTACGCTGCAATGTTACAATATAAACCAGGTTTAATGCATGTAGAAAAATAACCAGATTCAATAGGTAAAAACAACAAACAAAATACCGGAGATCTTCTCAGAGGGAGTTGTGAATCCAGCAGCTGACTTTTCTTGACAAGAGACTTTGAACCTGTAGCTGTGGACTTCTCAACTAGAGCTTTTGAAACTGTTGCAACGGATTTTGTACCTTTTATTGTAGATATCTCAAGGGATGGCTTATAACCTGCTGCTGCAGTTTGTGAACCTGATCCTGCTGCTTTCCCTGATGCTGCTGTAGTTTGTGAACCTGTTGCTGCTGCTTTCCCTGATGCTGCTGTTTTCCCTGATGCTGCTGATTTTCCTACTGATGCTGCTGCTTACAATGGTGATTTTCCTCTTGCAGCAGAAGTCTGAAGTGGAGATTTCTGACATGTTGCATCTGTAGGGTTTTCAAAGATCACTTTGTGGACAGGCCATGCTACATAAGACATTAAACAGTCCTCAAAGTATGTCACATCCATCGTTGGCCTCCATATAAAAGTCTTTGGTTGAAGAACTGCATCGACAAATATCTTTACTGCTACTGGTCCGAGAGGAAGCCCATTGACTAATGCGTTTTGTTCTTGTGTTTGCCAACGTCCTTCTGCAACAACAACCTCATCTGAAGACAAATCCAGTAGTTTGCATTTGTTCACAGAGTTAGGTCTTGGTCCCTGTCAAAAACATTGAAACCCAAAAATACATTGTGTTAAAAGAAGATCATTATTCTATATATGAGTATGAGAATGAATAATAAACTTTACCTGGGCTTCAATGTCTTCTTGTTGGAGATCCTCTTCTAGGTTAACACACATAGCAGCAGGCCATGCAATCATATGTCCAACAGCTTTCTCAATGGTGAACATGTTAGCCGCAGGTCTCCAAAGGAATGCTTCTGGTTCAATAGCAGTGTCAATCAAGACTTTAACATCCGTAGGGCCTAAGGGACAGTCATTAACTAATTCACCCGGATCAGAAGAAATAATACATCCCTCAGCAACTTTTACATCAGAACCAGCCCAATCAAGTAAGACACATTTTGGTTGTGATTTTTTGTTCACACTCTGTAAAAACAATAGGTAGACAAAATATCAGGTGATTGTATCTGTTAGAATAAATCAAAGCATCTGATATGAGTGACTTACTCTTGCAGCTGAGTTTTCACCTACTTCAGGTGATTGTCTCTGTTACAAAAAAAAAGAAAGAAGTCAAATGTTATATATATATATAAAGCTTCTTTATATAAATAGATATAAATAGTTAAGTGCACTAACCTGGTTCTTCATTTTCTCAATTACATCTTGTAGCTCATTGACCTTCTTCTGGAGATGAAGCTGATTCTCTTGCATTTCAGCCATACACTTGTGCTTCACTTGGAAACAAGCTAACTTGGTCTTATTCATATTGCGACCCATTGCTCTCATTCTACCAGGATTGTCAGGCCCTAATAGTTGGCTTAGTGAATCTTGTGCTTCATTTGTTGCATGTGATGGATTATCACTGTTAACAATCTCCTCTGCCTTTTTCTGAAACTCATAAGATACATATTAAAATATCAAGTGTGATTCAAATGCCAAAATGCAAATCATTAGAAGCAAAATAACTCACAATCTTTTCAGCAGCATTCGTATTCACTGGTGTACCATCTTTCTTAGTACGTGACTTAACCCAAACCTTTAGGCGTGTCACTTCAGATGGGTCTGCACTAGCAGTTTTCTAAACAAAAAGAAAAGAAACAAAAGATTACACAAGTGTTTGGACTTTGGGAAAAGGCTGAGCAATATGAACAATATAAGTGTAGCAATATTACCATATCTTCTGCTAGTCTAACCATTCCCCTGCGACTACAAGTGTGTGGAATCTGATTGCGCCTTCTTTCCTTGTAGCTATCGCTTACAACCTAACAGATGAATGTTAATTTCTAAGGAAAGATAAGTGAACCTACTCATAATAGATAAATTTACAAATTCCAAATGCATACCTTAAATTCTTTGCTAGTTTTGAGCTTCACAAATTTACGCCAATCAAATGGAGAAATATTTTTAGGTCGCATGTTCATCCTCTCTTGGTTAGTCTTAGCTTCTCTAATGTTTGTAACTTGCCTTGATTTCCAGGACCTCCAAAAGCATCCCATCTGCTTAAGCACTGTAACCTTTTGGTACTCTTCATCTAGTTCAAACCTTGCCTGCACTCAAAAACAAAACAGCTAAGTACTCACACCAATATCTAATAAACTTGTAAATTTTACACAAATCTTACCTGGACAGATTTCCAGAGAACCGTCCTGACTTCTTCACCTATTTTTGTCCAACGATCAATTGTGATTGGAACGTGTTCTCTTACCAATGCGCCTACATATGATGCTAGTTTAACTGAGCCTTTACTAATAGGCTCTCCCATGTTAGTGAACTCTACTCTTACTCTGGTATTTGGATCCTTGGCAATATCCTTCAGCCTAGTTGGTCCTCGATGTCTCTTACGCTTTGGATCAGCACAATCATAATCCTCAGATAATACAAGCTCTCCTTCAGCCTCTTCCACTTGATTTGGATCTGCTACTTGAACTTTAGCCTCTTCCACTTGATCTGGATCTGCTACTTGAACTTCAGCCTCTTCCACTTGATCTGGATCTGCTACTTGAACTTCAGCTGGTGCTACATGTTCGACCTCATCATTGACTTGTGGTTCAACTGTACCCATATACTCGACCTCCTCATTGGCATGCTTTGCTTCCTTTTTTTTGTTACTTCTGCATCGCTTTTTCTTCTGTTGTCCCATTTTAAATCACCTGAGAAAAATGAAAGAAGAAAGAGTTAAGTATATACTGAAAATAAGACATCAAACACACTATGGAAATCAGACATCAGACATAGAGCAGGCAACAAAGAATGAAACCAAGACTTCTTCATTCTGAAATGATGTGTTGGTGGCAGCCGCTTCCTGTGGCACATGTAGACATGTTTTCTGCTGAACTTCAACCACATGCTATCGGTATTTTTCCCACATAGAGGACATCCCATTTTTCCCTTTGCTTTGCAGCCAGCTAGATTCCCGTAAGCAGGGAAATCACTAATCGTCCAAAGCAACATTACCTTAAGAGTAAATGTTGATTTACTGAAAGCGTCATATGTCAACTCCCCATTGTCCCACAGGTGGCATAGATCCTCTATAAGTGGTTCTAGGTATACGTCAATGTTATTACCAGGCTGTTGTGGACCAGGAATTAGCAAAGTCAACATGATGTTCTCCTTCTTCATGCATAAATCAGGAGGCAGATTGTAGTTAACCAACAAAACGGGCCAGCAACTATATCTAGTGTTCTTCATGTTGAATGGATTAAATCCATCTGTTGAAAGTCCAAGCCTCAGGTTTCTTTCCTCAGCTGCAAATGACGGGTATTTGGCATTCATCTGATCCCATGTTACTGAATCTACAGGGTGACGGAGTTTTCCATCGCTGCTTTTGTTGCTAAAATGCCACCTTAAATCCTTAGCCATTTCCTCAGACCTAAACATTCTCTTAAGGCGTGGGATTATCGGAAAGTACCTTAATACTTTCTGTGGGACACCTTTCTTTATTTCACCAGTGTGCAAGTTAGTCTTCCATCTTGAAGCGCTGCATTTAGGACAACTGTCGAGCTTCTTGTAATTCTTTCTGAATAGGCAGCAGTCATTAACACATGCATGGATCTTCTCGTAACCCATATCAAAGGATTTCAAAAATTTCTTCACCTCGTATAGTGATGTGTGTAGCACATTATCCGCTGGTAACATCTCCGGAAGTGTCTCTAGGAGTTCATTGAAGCTCTTGTCAGACCAGCCATTCTTTGTCTTAAGTCTGAAAAGTGTTACAATAGCCGACAGCTTGCTATGGTTGAGACAACTTGGATATAGTGGTGTTTCGGCATCTGCATGGCTTCGCAAGGAACTCATCTTCTTCCTTGTCCAAACCCTCTGCAATCTCAACTTTGGAAGCAAACTCTTCATCCAAATATTCAGCTGCTTCATATAACCCAACAATTTCATCATTCCACTGATTTTGATTGCTTTCACCTCCAACCACTGGATTCAATTCTCCATGATGATACCAATCAGACCGCATCTTGTAAGGCTCGTCCATTCCCCTTGTTACAAGATGATCAACTACAACACTGGCTGAGTGACGATCTATATTACGACAATCAATGCAAGGACATACAATCATATCAACGTCTCTCATTGCCGCAGCCACAGTCCGTACAAAGTTTGCAGCCCCTCTCTCATAAGCAGGATCAACTCTTCATATAAGATGAAGAGTTAAAAGAGAAAAAAGAAGAAAAAAAAACAAGCAAAGTCTCCAAATTCCCTAATCTAATATATAAAAAAAATCTTACCTGCAAAGGTGCACCCAACCCTTGTCCATCATTTTATAATGCAACCGTAATTAAAACCTTTGTTGATATAGGAACTTATTCAGATTTAATTAAAGAGTCTACACACATCACACAGTAATATTCAGACTAATTAACAAATAAATCAAACTCAGATTTTAGCTAAATCAAACTCAAATCAGATCAAAGCATATGTGATAAAAGAACTAAGTCAGATTTAATGAAATAGTCTAAACACATCACAGAACCACTTACTTTTCAGACTAATTAACAAATTAAGCAAACTCAAATTTTAACTCAATGTAAACAATATATATAACTCAATCTCAGACAAGATCAAAGCATATGTGATATAAAAACTTATTCAGATTTAATGAAAGAGTCTTCACACATCACAGGATCACTTAATATTCAGACTAATTAATAAATCAAACACAAATTTTATGCAGATAAACTAATCTCAGACCATATCAAAGCATATGTCAAACACATATAACCATATTTAAAACGATTAATCAAAGTAAAATATCTATTACCAATCACATAGCAAACACAGTAATGTACAAGACAAAGGAAAAGATGGTCTAACCTGTCGTGTAATAAGAGCCAAAGATAACCTTCAGATTCCCATTACTTCAAACAGCAACACTTGCAAAACAAAATGAGAGAATGAGTATATCTAGTTTCATGTGTTTGGTAATGCAAGAATGTGTTAGAAAAGCACTTAAAAGATCTAAAGATTCAGATAACAGATCAATACAAAAAGTCAGAACTTACAAGACCAACCAATTGTATCCGACAATAAGAACAAGTCAATACAAATAGTTTTAATAGAATGTCAACAAAAACTTCTAAATCTCGAGAATAGGTCAATACAAGTTATCTAAAAATCTAAGATTTCCGAAAGCAAAATTGTGCATCCTATTTATCAAGCTACGCCTAAATCAAACCACACAAACAAATAGTTCTAATTAAGCAAAGAACACGGACATGCAAAAGACAAAAACTTTGAAGAATCGAATCAGAGAAACCCTTAAATCCAGACTTTAAGAAACAAAACAGTTGTCGAGCTTCACGACAGCTAAAAGAAATCTAGCTAGGTTAACGAAAGGGAAGAAATAAATCTACAGATTCAGAGAGACATGCCTTCGATTTGGGACTCAGAGAGATGGTTTAATCGGAGAATTAGGGCCGAAATCAGGTTTTCTGTCGCGGCTACAGCTTTGACGGTGGCTAACTTCAACGACGGCGGTGGCGAGTTCAATCGGTGGCTCCAGGAATCGATTCGTCGGTTTGAGAGAGTGTGGTTAAGCCTTAGGGTTTTCTCGAGCAAAGAGGGAAAAAATTAGTCTGTTCGCAAAAAGAAAAAATATTCTTTAAGTGTTTCGCGGTATGAGTCATTTTAGTTTCCCGGGCTAAAGGAATTCTATCATAGCGTTAAAACCTTGCTATATTATTAAATTTATTTATTAGCATTTATAAAACGCTATCATACGAAAACAAAATTTGTAAATAATCTTCAATAGCAGTTGAGTAATCCGTGCTATTACGTTATGCTATCAATGAACAAATTTCTTGTAGTGATTACAATAATTAAATCTTACATTTTTTAATTTACATATTTCGTGTTTCAAAAATTTACATTTCTATTATTTAAGTGTATGCAATAATCGAGCATGATCAATATTGTGGAAGTCGAAACTAACACAATCTAGATTTGTCTAGGGTTTTAATTTAGGGATACGATAAATGTGAATTCTCAAAGAACAACAGAAACAATTGTAACCAAAGATGGTGTTCTTGATCTTATTGATGAA